ACCCCTTTTCGGCTATGCTGCAGTTTCTCTGCCATTACTTTCACTCGATCTGCAAGTTGCAAAAAGTAAAGGGATTTTTTGAAAGTGCCCTATCGCAATATATCTGTACCAGCCTAATACAGCTTATTTTCGAATTACTTTAAAATTTATTTTGTCGGAGAAAGTTCATTGATTCTCTCAGAGATGGCGCCACATATCCTGCCCAGGAGGTGCTGCCCTCTTATCGGCGAAAATTCGAACTAATGCGAATTCTTTATTAAGAATTTACTCATTAAAATTTGGACGATGGGATTTTTAAATTGAATTCGGAATTATTTTATCTGAGAAAGTTCATTCGTTCTCTCAGAGATGGCGCCACATATCATGCCCAGGAGGTGCTGCCCTCTTATCGGCGAAAATTCGAACTAATGCGAATTCTTTATTAAGAATTTACTCATTAAAATTTGGACGATGGGATTTTTAAATTGAATTCGGAATTATTTTATCTGAGAAAGTTCATTCGTTCTCTCAGAGATGGCGCCACATATCATGCCCAGGAGGTGCTGCCCTCTTATCGGCGAAAATTCGAACTAATGCGAATTCTTTATTAAGAATTTACTCATTAAAATTTGGACGATGGGATTTTTAAATTGAATTCGGAATTATTTTATCTGAGAAAGTTCATTCGTTCTCTCAGAGATGGCGCCACATATCATGCCCAAGAGGTGCTGCCCTCTTATCGGCGAAAATTCGAACTAATGCGAATTCTTTAATACGAATTTACTTATTGATATTTCGGCGTTAGGATTTTTAATTTGAATTCGGAATTATTTTATCCGAGAAAGTTCACTCTTTCTCTCAAAGATGGCGCCACATATCATGCCCAAGAGGTGCTGCCCTCTTATCGGCGAAAATTCGAACTAATGCGAATTCTTTAATATGCATTTACTCATTGTAATTTCGGCGATGGGATTTTTAAATTGAATTCGGAATTATTTTATCTGAGAAAGTTCATTCGTTCTCTCAGAGATGGCGCCACATATCATGTCCAGGAGGTGCTGCCCTCTTAGCGGCGAAAATTCGAACTAATGGAAATTCTTTACTATGAATGCTTGATAATTTCAAAATTCAAAAAAAAGTGTGCGAGCACTAAAAAGTAAAGCAATTTTTTGAAAGTGGTCCTATCGCAATCTAACCTGTACCAGCCTCTTCTATGGACCATTCTGACTTTCTGCATTAAGAGATCTTTCAAAATTTCTAGGAAAAAGCCCTAAACCTAGCCGTTTCCGAGATACAGCCTCCCAAAGATGCAATTTCGAGTATTTTCAATACTCAAGAATAGACTGAAGCCTATGTAACCATATGCTTTTGAAGATAACAAATATTAAGGCAGGATGTACAGACTAAATAAGAATATCGGGTAACATAGGGCTAAGCAAAGGACTAAGCGAACTCATTTTGTTTTACAAGGTAGTATTGATAAAGGAAAAGCGAAGTCAGAATACGGATAATATGGCACAGATGGAATGGAAATAATAACAGAGAAAATGGAGCATAGCAGAAAAGAGGTGTCGAAGCATAAGGCAGGAGGAGGTGGAAAAGGATGCTGTTATGATGGAGGAGAGTAAGAGAGAGACAGACCTCACTGGTACTCTGGGATATTCGCATAGGGCAAAAGAATATCAACGTGTATAAGTGTTATAAGATGATTTATTGGATAAATACAATAATTATACAGTATACGAAGTACAGATGTACATATATAGTCCGCGAAAGATTAGTAATATTAATGCTATTATAAATATATTAAAATATATCACTACAATATGATATACTTGTGGTATGTTACATGCGCTACCACTTCAAACTATTCTAGTTCCAAAAAACATTTTAAAAACTTAGTTTTTAAGGATATATTAGGAGG